TGCGTCTTATTGTCGGAAAAATACAGTACATTGCTGAAACATTTTTGTAGAGAGTCAGCAAACTAACAATTCAGGATATTTTGTGAGATACTTCTGATTCTAGTGTCTCATTCCTCATCTCAGGTCAAAGACAGTCCCTCCAACCTTCCAAGTAAGTTTTTCAAGGGGAGAGGAAAGAAAATCTGTTTCTCCAAACTTTCTTCTACTTGTGGCTCTTGGGATCAAGGCCCATAGAAATAAATATTTTATATGAAAATTGCAACCTAAACTGCTTACCTCATAAGATTCTGTATCAATGTTGCAAGGACTAGGAAAACCAGATGCAATTGCTACACAGGTTGCATCATCTGGGAGTTGTACAGCCCAGCTGTTAGCAAATTTAGCTATATCTTCTTTATAGTCACCTATTTAAGAATATAAATTTATATACATAGCCCAGCATACAGAGGAGGATATACAGTTATTCAAATGATGGATCCCTAGATTTTAAGTCATGGATATTATGTATAATTCCCTTAAATTACATATATAGTGCATCTCTCATCATATCTATTTGACCCTTGACATGGAGTTATAGTAATGATAGCTGATACTAATACATCTTGTTAATGTTGGACAAGACCAGCTATGAAATATCGAGTTTGAATTTCACAATACACATAAATTCACTTGAATAGTCTTAGACAGTTCATGCCATTTCAATTCAGTCCTTATTTGCAACAGGCAGATAACACCACTCATTAACTAAAGTAATAAGGATCATAATGATGTCACGAACCTTGAATACATTATATAACTGCTAAGTAATTATATAATTTTCATTCCTCAAATTAAGAAATGTATGCAATTACCATTCACAACAGATTCAATAGCCTAGTAATAATCTCCAATGACAATTACAAATTAGTAGAATGCAAGAAAGTGGGCTTATCGTCACATATTTTGGCTTACTATTTTGTATTACGAGATCATCCGATGTATTATTATTATAATTTCCACAGAGACCACATGTTTTTCCCTTGTGTTCTTCTGTCAATTTAATGTAAATCCCAGAGTTTCCATCCCAAGCTAGGGAAAAGCCAAATGTAGTTTTCACCAAAATATAATCTGCTAATCTCTCAATGAAAATATTTCCAATTGTTTGGGGCAAAGACAACCTGAAAAAACAAAATAAATTCTAACTCAAAGATGTCAGCTACCTATAATCATGCTATCTTTTTATTCATAAAAATATTGTGCTTCTTAAAAAAAAAATCAATCATAGTAATATATTAAGTATAGAAGTTACTTCTATATACATAAAATGCAAATTATAACAAATACATTGTTTTTATTTGAATCATTTTTTTCTTTTTTCTTTTCCCATAATACAAATATTAACATTTGTAATATGACAATGTTATTTCAGTGATATTAAAATAGTATCTGTGAGATTCTCTTCCTTAGCCGGTTGGCTGAAGGCTCCCAGAAACTTGATAATATCACTGCAAGGGAAAAACAGATATTCCAGAAAAGTAGGTTCAAAAATGTGACTCCAGATCAACTAGAACTGAATGTTTTCATCATCAGAATTTCATCATAAGGCAAATAATGTAATAATTTTGCTATGAATACTTTAGTTGTTTTAAGAAATGTAAGAAAACATTTCAATTGTTTTTACCTGATTCTACCCTTTCTAACTTCATGTCCCGATATGAGTATCTCATCCTGATTTGAAAAAAACAAGCTTATTGACCGCAAACAAGAGTACACTGAACCAGCACAGTGAGGACTATTATTAACCTTAAAGGGAGAAGAAACAGAACATAAGAACATATTTTTTAAAAAATATTCACATATTATTCAACTTATTTTTTAAAAGAATTGAACTAGAAACATTTGGAGAAGTTTTTGAACAGCATGTTTAGTGTACATGTCTCTAAATATGAAAACTGTATGTATCACATCATGTATACTACACTGTGGGTACATTTTCCACAGTCAGAGCATCTGCAGTCTTCAAAACTGAGGTTCCACAAAAGTAGATTCAGAAGTGTGACATGTACGTTGAGGTTACTCTACTGGTTACCAACGGGCTTATAGACCCAACTCAAGGTGCTGGTTTTAACCTTCAAAACCCTGCATGGCTTGACAGTCATGTATCTGAAGGTTCATTTCTGCTAACCAGAATATCCTTGCCCTATGTGTTCATCCGGAAAGGCCTGGTAAGAATGCCCTCTCCATATGAGGTTAAAGAAGTAGGAGCTTGGAGTCTTGCCTTCTTAGTGGGAGCCCCTGAGCCTGAAGGTAAGGGGAGCCAGCAGCAAAGCAGTGAAAGCCAAGTAATTACAAAGAGTTTTGTGGGTAAATGCGTACACACACACAAATATAAATTTTTATATTTGTTATATATTTATATTTTTGGGGAGATATGGAGATATACAGAAATGTTGTGGTAGATAGATAGATAGATAGATAGATAGATAGATAGATAGACAGATATAGATAGATACCTATGACTAAGCAGAACATGCTTACATTTGCTACCAAACTAAAACCATTATTCAATAATAACTTTACATTCAGACTTAATGCAATCTTAAATATTGTTACCATAGGAAACAGGTTTAGGATGGGCCATACTGTTAATCTTTGCTAATCCAGTCTGATAAACAATGTCATTACACCAGCAATGCAGGGAAATCAAAATAGTATCACTAGCATTTACCTGAAGATCTTAAGTATTAGTGTGCTTTCTTACTGCAGAACTTCAGCATTCCTTGACCAATAGTTTTGGTCATCATTTGATACAATGCTGATTCTGATCTCATTTTTTATGAACCTTCACATAAGAGATTAACACTTCAAAATAATAATAATAATAATAATAATAATGCTGAATTCACACAGATTAAAAAACTGCTGAGTGAAATAGTTCAGCATAGAGTAGCACAGTCAACTAATTGGCATTGGGGAGTAGTAAGGAAAACTACAGAGAGCCGTTTTATGCATCTGCAATCTCCCTCTGTTACAGCAATATCTGAACAGATTTTCTCTTCCATCAGTACAGAAATCTTCCATTACCATTTCCCCGTAGAGAGTTTTGTGTCATTGAAAAGCTTATATATATGACACCTACCCTTCCAATCTGGTGCCTACTAGATACATTCAGGCTACCAAATCCCCACCTTCCATTTAATATGCTCCAGATTTATTTATTTATTTATTTATATATCAAATTTATATCACTGCCCAACTCCCCCACAAGGAGGGACTCTGGGCAGTTCACAACCAAACAATTTAAAATCAATAAAAACTTAAATAATACAGTATAAAATACAATTATTAAATATAATAAAATCCAAGTGATGGTGATATTTCAGCCTGTGACCAGATAATATTGGTCAAAGGTAAGACTAGGGAACCAGCCACCCTCAAAACTGACTATTTCCATCCCCACCCCATGCATGATGACAAAACCCGGTCTTCAGTTTTTTTCTGAAGTCTAAGAGGGAGGGGGCCAACCTCACTTCTGGGGGAAGAGTGTTCCAAAGGGCAGGGGCTGCTGCAGAAAAGGCTCGCCTCCTGGAACCTGTCAGATGAAATTCTGAGGGGGCCAACCTCACTTCTGGGGGAAGAGTGTTCCAAAGGGCAGGGGCTGCTGCAGAAAAGGCTCGCCTCCTGGAACCTGTCAGATGAAATTCTCTTGCAGACGGGGTCCGTAGCATGCCCTCTCTGCATGACCAGGTGGGACGGGTTGATGTAACGGGGATGAGACGGTCCTTCAGGTACCCTGGACCCATGCCATGTAGGGCTTTAAAGGTCAAAACACCTTGACTTGGACCCGGAAGCAAACTGGCATCCAATGCAGCTCACAGAGCAAAGGTGTTATATGCGCTGATCTTGATGCACCTAAAATCGTCCACGTGGCTGCATTCTGGACCAGTTGAAGCTTCCGGATACTCTTCAAGGGTAGCCCCATGTAGAGCGCATTACAATTAGGTCTAACAGTAATAAAATCCTGTCAAATCTGTAGTTACTGTACAAAGATGGAACATCTATAAGAATTCAATCCAATTTCTAGGGATAGTGGGAAGTGAACAAAAGATTTCTATAGTATTATTGGAAACAATATTGGCTAATGTGATTAAGGTATACTTAATACTTCCTCATTTTCCTAACCTTTTAGATTGGCTGCCTGGAATCCTTTTGAATCTCAGATTCAAATAATTAATTGTTAATCTGTCAGTCAATGGAATCATGAGCTCACAAGCTCAACCACACAATGGTAAGTGAACATACTGTAGTAACTGAAATAGTTCTCTCACTTTCCATACCATGAAACTAAACCAGTTTAGTTACAAACTGCAGAGGAATCTCTTACATAACTGTCAGAAAAGAATATGCTGTTTTTAGTTCCCTCCTGACCCAAATTTCCAATCTTACCCACACAGTGTACTGAGGCTCTGGATTGCTGCAATCTTTCACAAAAATGTATGAACAGTTTCCTGGGAAGTAGTAGTAGATGCCATCAAATGTTTCAAAGTGATATTGTCCCCATGATTTGCAAATGCCAGCTCTGTCTTTGCCAGTATTTGGAACTAAAGAAAAAAAAAATAGTTGTTTCCAAGCCATGCCAACAGAAACAAACATTTCAGATGAGTGTTGCCCATTCCAAATATATTCTCCTTCCTTCCTTCCTTCCTTCCTTCCTTCCTTCCTTCCTTCCTTCCTTCCTTC